AGCGTGTCCCTGCTGTGCAGGCCCGTGTGCAGGCCCGCCTGCTGCGTGCCCACCTCCTCCTGCTGTGCCCCCTGCTGCCAGCCCGGCTGCTGCCGCCCGGCGGCCTCGTGCGTGTCCCTGCTGTGCCGCCCTGCCTGCTCCCGCCAGGCCTGCTGTGGCGGCTCCCCGGGCCAGTGCAGCTGCTGATGGATGCGGCCCGGGGCTGTGGGTGCAGATCCCTCCTCCAAGGCCCCCTTGGTCTGGGCCTGACCGGGATTAAGGGCCCTCTCCTTTTCCCCTAGGGTGGCCCTCCCTTGTCCACTGTGCTGACTCTATCTCTCCCTCCTTCTCCCCTCCTTTCTTTCCTGCCTCTCCACTCCTCCACTCTGCAGTTCTTGCCCTGGCTCCCACGGGTCAGCCTCTCCTGGACTTCAATAAACTCATTGAGTTCATCCTCTGTCTGTCGTGCTGTGAGTCACGGGGTGAGAGCCAATGTCACAGTGAGCTCTGCACACAGTGAGCATTGAGTGATTTGACTTGGACTAGAGACCGTGGGGACGGGGCAGGGGGGCGGTCCCTGGGCAGGCTGGTCAGCAGGGGACCTGTGGGCAGACTGTAGAGGGCCTGGTGTGTGGGGTCTATCTGGTGCTTGAGTCTCCTCTTGGTTGAGGTGTTGCTACCCCAGCCCCTGCCCCGCCTGTGTCTCTCTTTTCCTGGCCTTTACTGGAAGGATTTCCACCTCAGTCCTTTTTGGGTTCCAGGCATTCGCTTGTGCCAGCTTGTGCCAGCAGAAGTGGCTGCTCCTGGCAGGTAGGCCTGGTGGGCCCCGACATGGAGGCTGAAGTGTCCCACGTCCCCACAACAACCAGGAGTAAGGACAAGTGGTCATCTGCCAAAGTGAACACTAAATGGAATTTTGTCACAGGGGGGTTTTGACCTCTTCAGACACACCGGTGCATCACAGACAAAGACTGGCTGTTTCCATGTTCACACACACTCTACAGCTTCCCGCATATCTGATTTACCTCTACAGTGTAATCACTTTACTCTCCTCCCTCCTCCTCTTCCTCCTCTTCCTCCTCCTCTTCCTCCTCTTCCTCCTCCTCCTCCTCCTCTTCCTGTTCCTGCTCTTTCTCTCTGCATCCTTGGGGTGTGTGAACTCAGAACCTTGTACTGTACTTACTTAGCTTGCTTGCTCCAATTAGCACTCTACCGTGTAAACCATGCCTCCAGGCAGCCTTTTGCTGATTATTTTGGAGATGGACTCTCGCAGATTTTTCTGCCCAGGCTGGCTTCCATTCTCCAGAGCTCAGCTTCTGAGCAGCTGGGATTTCAGGCAGGAGCCATACTGGAGCCTGGCTTCACTTTCCTATCTTTACTTCCGTGGTGACACGGATGAAGCGTGCACCGGATCTCAGCTGCAGTCAGTATAAGCCAGTGTTGATCATCCTTTGAGAAGAACACAAGTGGACCAGCATTGGGAGGTCACACTCCCGGCAGGCAATTTCATCACTTGTTTCCAGAACATTCCATCTAGCAAAACTGACCTCTGCCTCCATAAGTTCTAATACCCGATTCCGACCCCAGCTCCTCCTGGGCTTACCGCACTTCCATAATGTCTTTAGGATCCACTCCTGACGTAGCAGACCAGAACGACCTTTCAAGGGCTGAGTGCTGTTCCAGGGCACCGCTTGCTGGTGGGCACAGGTGGGCCTCCGTGCCCTGGGTGAGCGGCGCCGTGGGTACCAACCCTGGGCCGCTCCAGCCGCATCTCCCGCGCTCCGTTGCCGAGGAGCCCCAGGCTCGCGCATCCTCGCCGGCAGTGTGCCAGGGTCTGGGGTCTCGGCCATGCAGGCCCTGACCCCCGCCTGGCCCCCGCCGAGGGCTGGGGTGCCTTCGGTTGTGCTCCTGCCCGAGGGAGGGAGGTCGGGCCGGGCCCTCCCGGGGCTGCCCAGCACCGCCTCCGCCCGGTGCCCGGCCCCTCCACACACCCACCCAGCAGCCAGGCTCTCCAGGCCCCTGCCCCCCTCGCCTCAGTCCCCCCGCCTTGCCCCTCCCCCTCCCGCACCCCCTCCCCCACGCCCGCCCCTTCCTCC